GGCGCCCGAAACTCCATGTTCCGGACGTCGGGAGCCTTCAATCCTGGGCCGCCCCTCTGCTCCCTGCTGCCCCGAGGCCGTGCCTCGGTGGCCTTGTCGGGAATCCGGTCCTGTGGGTGACGCTATGGATCGGTCTTTGGGCGCTGATTTACTGTGTGCATCGGGACTAACTTTGGTGCCTATTTTACTACACAGTCATGTTTAAAGTGGATCTGGCCTAAAAACGTTTTCCTTTCTGTGGCAAGAAAAGTGAGATTTGGTGGTTTGGTACACTGATTGATAAGCTCTGCACTCTTGTCACAAGATCCTCGAGAAGACTACAAATCTCTCCAAAAAATTCCACTCTTAGATAATTGTCACCAGAACAGGTTTTCCCTTCTGAACAAGTCTCATCTTTCTAAAACCTGGAGATGCCGGGGATTGAACCCGGGGCCTCATACATGCGAAGCATGCGCTTTACCACTGAGCTACATCCCCCACCCCTTGCAGAGTCTCAGCAGTACCGGCATCTGTCAGAATGCCATTCTGCGGCAGGAGTTTGTCGCGAGCGGACGGGTAGGCTGGCGTTGAGTTTTTAAAAGTCGACGCGTGGACAACGCTGGACGTCGTGATTGACCTTTAGGATTACGTCGGTGGATCCATTTTTGTTTATTTAAACTAGGGCTGTGGAAATTAAAGATTAGTTTCTCGATTAATCGTTAAACTTTTTGATCGATTAAAATTATTTTGATCGCTAATGAAAACACTCGCCTCTCCGCCGGCTTCCGGGAGTCCCGTCGGAGATCCGGTGACGTCACGGACATCGACGTCACCTGACTCCTCCCCCCTTCCCCAAGTGGCTCCGTCGGCTAACGAAGGGAAGGGGGGAGGAGTCCGGTGACGTCGATGTCGGCTAACGAAGGGAAGGGGGGAGGAGTCAGGTGACGTCGATGTCCGTGACCTCACTGGACTCCTCCCCCCATTTTTGTTTTTTTTAAATAAAAGAATTGTCAAAAACATGTCTTTTAGGTTTTTTTTTCAATTTTAAAGGATTTTTTTCGGAAGTGTGGCGTCTTTGTCACAATTTGAATGTAACCCGGTACAGCCGACTTGACTACAGGCCTCTCCAATGTGCTGCCTACAAAACAACAAGGGGATGTAGCTCAGTGGTAGAGCGCATGCTTTGCATGTATGAGGCCCCGGGTTCAATCCCCGGCATCTCCAGGTTTTATTTACCTGAAAGTCTTTGTACTACATCTTAGATTGCACTTTTCTGTCCAATTCCCAGCGGATGTCGGCCAGCTGGTGGTCCGGTCTCTTAGGCTGGGCACACACCTTACAACCATCGCAGGACTTTTGTCTTGTGATGGTTGTAAGGCACTTAAAAAAACGTACGATCTGCCTATGTTGCATAGGCAGATCGTACTGTCGATGATCGCAAGCCACGCCCCCTGAGGGGCGGGCTTCCGATGACCGCAATGCCGAACGGGCAGTGTGCGCTTGCGCACACCGGCCCGTGCGGCTGT